TATCCAAGGGWTAAAATCCAAACAACGTCTATAGGGTGAATAACTTTTTCTACCGTTTTTAACCAACTGCTCGCGAGGAATAGATAATTTCTTTGTTTAAATATTTATTTTATGATTAACAGGCACCTATAACGATTTGTTTTTTTTAGACATTGATGAGTGTGCATCAAGTCCTTGTATGAATGGTGGYWCATGTGARGATCAGGTCAAAAGTTACAAATGCGTCTGCGCCAAAGGATATGAAGGGACTCGATGTGAACAAAGTAAAGATTGATTGATTGACAGACTCACTGACGGACTGATTAATTGATTGACAGACTCACTGATCATGACTGACTGACGGATTAATTGATTGACAGACTCACTGATCATGACTGACGGATTATTGATTGACAGACTCGCTGATAATGACTGACTGATTGATTGATTGATTGACAGACTCGCTGATCATGACTGACTGATTAATTGATTGACAGACTCACCGATCATGACTGACGGATTGATTGATTGACAGACTCGCTGATTATGACTGACTGATTAATTNATACTAGTGTGATTGTATTGTTTTAAGGGAAGTTGGACTTAATATCCAGCAGACATCGTTATAGATTTATATTATTTCTCTAGTATTGTTACTTAAATATTTCCAGTTCAAATAAATAATCACCATCATTACGGGACGAGCCGACGGGGTCTGTTCTTCTAAATAACTATTCTTGTACGAACGTTTTGCTGGGAAAGGGATTTTGAGCTACATTGTTGAGAATCTCACATTCAAGCAAATGTGGCGYCCTTTCTTCTTTAAAATAATTATGTTCCTGGAAAACGTCATGCCAAAAAAGTTATATAACGTTTTTATGGTCAAAAACGGCTTATATTTTTTTAGTTGGGAAATTTTTATTTTCCTGGCAAAAATTCTTAGAGAGTATTCCTTGTCTGGAGAGTTTTTTTTTCTGAATTTCTCTCTGGCAACCAGTTGTGATTTACAGCTGGCTAGGACATAAGAACAGATATATTTCTCACAGGAACCCGTCGGCTGCTCCAGTATCATTATAATTGTTATTAAGGCTGAATTAGACGGCAGAAACTTTTGCCCGCAATCATCGCATAAACCTGCGTAAGTCATCCTTACAACATGGCTACAACTGTCGTGGGGATTTGAAACAATTGGCTAATAGTCCTAGAAAATGTGCATCCATGTTGCAAGGATGATTTACGCAGGTTGTATGCGGTGGTTGTAGACAAACGTTTTTTCGTNATAGATTTATATTATTTCTCTAGTATTGTTACTTAAATATTTCCAGTTCAAATAAATAATCACCATCATTACGGGACGAGCCGACGGGGTCTGTTCTTCTAAATAACTATTCTTGTACGAACGTTTTGCTGGGAAAGGGATTTTGAGCTACATTGTTGAGAATCTCACATTCAAGCAAATGTGGCGTCCTTTCTTCTTTAAAATAATTATGTTCCTGGAAAACGTCATGCCAAAAAAAGTTATATAACGTTTTTATGGTCAAAAACGGCTTATATTTTTTTAGTTGGGAAATTTTTATTTTCCTGGCAAAAATTCTTAGAGAGTATTCCTTGTCTGGAGAGTTTTTTTTTCTGAATTTCTCTCTGGCAACCAGTTGTGATTTACAGCTGGCTAGGACATAAGAACAGATATATTTCTCACAGGAACCCGTCGGCTGCTCCAGTATCATTATAATTGTTATTAAGGCTGAATTAGACGGCAGAAACTTTTGCCCGCAATCATCGCATAAACCTGCGTAAGTCATCCTTACAACATGGCTACAACTGTCGTGGGGATTTGAAACAATTGGCTAATAGTCCTAGAAAATGTGCATCCATGTTGCAAGGATGATTTACGCAGGTTGTATGCGGTGGTTGTAGACAAACGTTTTTTCGTCAAAATCGGCCTTTAATATCACAGTTATTAGAAACGTTTAATACACCATGTATAGAGGGAAGTTTTTCATGTTTTGTTTCGCCTGCACTATGAAGGACAATTATTATCGTCATTCTGGCTAAAATAGCCGATTTGCGATTTTTCCCTTTATTTTTCCTTTTATCTTATTTTTCCCTTATTATGAGCTACGCACAAAGGAGTCAAAACGAGGCGCTGTGCTTAAAGCTCACTCAATCGTGAAAAGACAATATRGTTTTTAATGATTGACTGAGCTTTATGCACGGCGCCTTGTCTTGATTCTCTTGTTTTTGACTACTGAATTGAAATTCACGTATCGGCTATTATTCCACACAGATGGGTCGGCCATATTGTGRCTTTCAGAATAYTMCAAACACTCTGTGTACAAAGAAGACAATAAAGATTTAYGCTTGATTGAATCTAAGCTTGCACAAAMGAGAATTYGAATCTAGGGCATTGATCATTGATAATTAGTTKCGAAAATTCAGAGAAAAATTCTATTCTTGTATTTTAGACATTAATGAATGTGAGTCGAATCTCTGTCAAAATGGCGCCCAGTGCGTAGATGGCATCAATTCTTACAGTTGCCGTTGTAACCTTGGATACCATGGACAGTACTGTGAAATAAGTAAGTCACCACAGGATTCCCAAAATCCAATA